TACATACTCGAATTACAAGTGAAATGGTATGAATTTCAAATTGAGTTTTCGAATTACAAATGAAATTCTCGAATTGCAATTGAAATGTTTTGAATAACATTTGAAAAAATGTGTAGTCGGCATGTCGTATTGTAATTGAAGAAAATGTGTACATTTAACGAAGTTTTTACTATTTTCTTTAAAAAATGGTTATTAAAATACTTTTCTTTCTTTATTGTGCCAAAAATGTAAAATTAATTGATTTATTTTATGAAAATATTACAATTATAAATATTGCTGCCGACTTTACTGCCGAAACAGTTATCCAGTACTCGGTATACCAAATGCACTCACTCCATAGCAGTGTGACCAGATCAAAAAAAAGTTGCAACTAAATCCTCATTGAAAAAATGCTACAAAATGCTAAAAAATATAAAAAAATTCCAAAAAATAATGCTAAATTTAGAAACGTGTTTTTTTGGTAAGAAGATCAGTTTATATCATTTATTTAACTGTGGAAATATATTTCGTTAGAATAAAACGATGTAATATAGAAATTTAACCATTTATTGATGAGCTATGGGCATGGTATAATAATAGAAGGTAACAGCAAGTGTTGTTGTACAAAAAACGATGCAACAACCACATGGAAATTTGTTTTTGTAAGTTCTACTAGTGTCAACTCATTTGACAGATAAATGTAAATAAACAAACAAATTATCATCAAATTATTTTTATTTTGAAAATGAAATATTTTCGAATCCTCAAAATAAAAATTGAAAAACATGAATGAAAATCTATCAAATTTATTTTTCTATCTATTCCACATCTTTCTTATAATTGAGCCATTGCCATATATGTGTGTAACACATATGAAAATGCTGGGAATAGCGAGTTATTCCTTGAAGAAAGATTTGCTTCCTCAAACTTTCCCAGCAGGCAGATTGAGTAAATTGAATACAGGAGCACATTTAATAAAGAACAATTTTAAATTGCATGCGTTCCCAAGTTTCCTGTTGGGTGATTTTTAAAAACATAATTTGTCAAATTCATATTGACACTAGTATAACGTTGGAATCAAATCAGCTGGGATTTGCTGTTACCTTTTATAATTGTACCATGAGCTATGGGAAATAACAATAAAAAATGTATTGAATAAAAAAATTATTGAATAAAAAACAGTCATACAAACATAAAAACAAAACATTGAATTCAATATCACATTGGTTTGTACATACATCCATATATATATATATATATATATATGGATTATATCAGTACATTTTTTAGTATTATTTGTCAACAACTGATACAATTTAATTACCAGTAAGGAAAGTAGTAAAGTCGGACGGGGCCGACTATATGATACCCTTCACCACTTTGGGTATATCCAACAGATGGAATCCTAACAGACGTTGCATTTTTGAAGGACCATTAACATGAAATTACACGTCTCATTCTGCAACCTATACTAATTTTTGGTTAGATATAGAGTAGCTTCTTACAAAGGGACAAAATTAAGTAATTAAATTTAAAAATATCGAAATCTAAACCGATTTCATCGAAACTTGTCACATGTTCGACCACATTCTGAGTTCTTCATTTACTTATAAACCCAAATTTCGTGCAAATGGAAGGATATATAGGCACTTTGGTGCACCATTTACATAAAATCGGACAAAAATATATATGGGAGCTATATCTAAATCTGAACCGATTTTCACGAAATTTAAAACACATCATTCTAGACTTAAGGGGACCACCCCCATTCTCGGGGTCAAATTTTTTTTGATTTAATTCGAATCTACACTAATTCAAGAACGTCCCTACAAAATTTCAAGTGAAAATCTCAAGAACTCTTGAAAATATAGCCGATTTATTGTGTCAGCATCAAGTGACGGCTAAAGGGCTTCTCAAACTTTAAACGCGTTTTTCTCTTTTGCGAATGGCGGGCACGATAACTCAAAAACTAATAACCCAATCGATTCCAATTTTTTACACGTTTCTCTGTGAGTGTATAGCTATCGTATGAACTAGGATAAAGCCAATCGGTAAAAATCTTCCTTATTTTTTAACTTGGTTTTTGGTCAAAAATCGGCGATTTTCCAAAAATATTTTTTCAAAGGTCCGCCATTTGGTAATTTTAGAGCGAACTCAATAATCCTAGTTCATACGAGAGCGTTTCTCTGTGAGTGTATAGCTATCGTATGAACTAGGATAAAGCCAATCGGTAAAAATCTTCCTTATTTTTTAACTTGGTTTTTGGTCAAAAATCGGCGATTTTCCAAAAATATTTTTTCAAAGGTCCGCCATTTGGTAATTTTAGAGCGAACTCAATAATCCTAGTTCATACGAGAGCCAGACATGTACTCTTTCTAACACCGTTGGAATTTTCGGATTCCGATGTTGTAGTGAGGAGGTATCATGCCCGCCATCAAAAATAAGGACTTTTCTTTAATTACAAAAAACAACAACAAAAATGGTTTGTAAATTATTTTTCTTCCCTTTTAAATTTTCAAATATATATGTGCAAAGTTACAAACCTTAACAAGCATTGGTATTGATTTACCAGCCCATTGAAAATCTTGAAAAATTAAAATCGAGAATGGGTGGGGTTCCCTTAATTCAGAACGCTATGCCAAATTTCGTGCAAATGGAAGGATATATAGGGACTTTGGTGCACTATTTACCTAAAATCGGATGAAAATATATATAGGAGCTATATCTAAATCTGAACCGATTTTTCCCAATTTCAATAGGGTTCGCCCTTGGGCCAAATAAGTGAATTGTGCCAAATTTCATCCAAATCGGATAACAAATGGGACCTGTACTTTGTTAACAAAAATACATGGACGAACGGACAGACGGACATACATAAGTCGACTTAAATAGTGATTCTATGCACATTCTCAAAAGGAACCATGTGTCTATCTCGTTTCCTTTTGCCTGTTACAAACATATGCACAAAGACATAATACCTTGTACCACAGTGTGGTGAAGGGTATAATAAACTAAATATATTATCAAATGAATCTTCCGAAGAGATGGTCGAAATATTATTGTACATGTTTTTATCACATTTTTTCAGGAGATCGTTGGTAATTTTTAAACTTTCGCAACATTTATTTAGTCTTTTCAATCCGCATCTAATATAAAGAAGTGAGTTCATAGTGCTCAGTATCATTCTATTTCTAATTTTTGTTTTTAAAAGGTTCATGCCACTGAAAATCCTTTCAACTTCTGCGTTACTAAATGGTAAAACTAGAAACTTCATAACAACAGATGGCAATTCCTTAAACGGATTTTCATTTAAAGCATTTTTATATTCGTACACATTAATCCAGAAATTAGTTGTTGAGATTGTGTTTGCACATTCATAAGTACATAACTTTTCCCATTGCTTTTCCAAAATATTGATTTCATCCACTGTGAAATCTTGCATTTGTTGTTCAAAATGTTCATGTAATTTAATTTTGTTAGTTCCTAAACTGTTTTCGACAGAAAAAAATTTCTTCGGAGTCACTGCTGAATTCTTCTATATCTAAATCGTTTGGTTCACTTCTTTTAAGATACTTACACAAATCATTATTTTTTAAATATTCATATTTTTAGTTAACTACTAAGTTGATGTTTTTTTGTTTTATATACAGATGAATATCACAAGAATATACATTAACACACTTTTTGCTTTTATTTGCTTCTTCACATTTGTATTCTTTAATTTTGTTTTGACTACCAAACTCAATGAATGCAAGCAAACGCCGATGTTCTATTGAACAGCTGATCATAATTGGTAATTGGTAAATCGTTGCCATTTTTAAAGGATTGTCATTGTTACTTCATAATTGTATAGCCATATTAAATTAAGTAGTCAGAAAAATAGCAAAATATTTAAAAATGTTGTGTGTAGAATAATGCTAAATAAGTAATTGCAAAATGCTAAAAAAAAAATGCTAAAGGCTAAATGAAAATTTTGCGGCTAAATACAAAAATAAAATGCTAAATTTAGCTGCAAAAATGCTAAAATGGCCACACTGCTCCATAGGTTAAAAATTTTTGAAATTAAAACCATGTCTATTATTGTGTCAACTCACTCAAAGCTTTTTTTCTTTTTTATATGGGAATCGGCCTTCAGGGTACTTGTTTATCATTTCCCCAATATTGAGCCAAAATGATCGAAAATGTGCTTATTTTCCACCCATATCCCGACTATAGGAAAATCGTATCATAATTGCAATTATTTCTTATTTTGTTCCTCTGTATGTTCTTAAAAATTATGAAAAATATATAATTTTTTATCATGCTCACTCTGCACAGTAAATGAACTTAGCTCGATGAAATACGACGGATGAAAATATCATTGTCATCCTTTTACTAAATGTTTTCATATTTAGTGAAAGGATTTTTTAGTTATTTGAAGTTATATACAACAGATGCCGAAATTAGGAACACTTAAACGGCATATACATTGCAACTTTTTACGGGGTTAACCTACTTTATGAGGATTTATTTGACATATAGGCAAAGGAATTGACAATTGAAACCCAGTGGGTTAACGAAATCCGGTTAAATGTAAACGTACTATTACCTTATATATTCAGGAAACATGATGATTTATTTATTTTCATACCTGTTTGGTTTTTTTTTATTATTAAAACATCAATATTGACAGTATTACAGAATATATTTGAAATAATTTTTTAAGTGTACGCAATGTATGTATGTTTGAATATATTGTATATTAAATGATGGCATACATATACATATGTGTATATGTGTTCTAAACATATGATTATATGGCGCATGACAATGAGATCCTTCTGTTGCTGTTAAATATTTCCCGCCATTTATACGATGAATGAATCAGCTGCTCTGACGAGTACTACCACAATGTGAACGAAGTGGTAAACAGGTGATGCCGAATAGTGGTTGATGATGTATCACAAACTGAAAGGGGGCAGTGTTGGGTAATGGGTCGTTTGGGCGGATGTTAATGTAACATCCGTTCTTGAAATGCTGGTTTAACTTGTTGATGTCACCACCATCACACTCTCGACCGTGCTAATCGGGGATGTGCTATTAATGTCGTCCTTCGGATTGGTGCTGTCGTCGGTTGGCGGCAGCACTTGTTTGGGTGGAATGTAAAACCACCAGGCAGCAAAGAAAAATACCACCGAACACAATTTACCAGTCAAGGCCAACATCCACATGTATCTGCATTACACAAAGGATCGGATGAATAGTACTATGGGTGGACATAGCCTGTAGGTTAAGCAATGCTATTACTTACCGACTCATTTGTGAATTTTCGTATACCAAACATGCTCCGGCCTGTTCGTCGCATGTCTCCTGCCAGAGTATGCAAGTTTCATCGATAAGTGTGCCAAATATCATTGGCGCTGGAATGGTGCCCAATAAGCGTACCTTTATCCATTGAATACCCAAGGCAAAAGAACGCTGGTCATCATAAACACACCTACAGATTTTATGAAACGAAACACAAAATATTCGAATTCAAACTTAAAAGAAGTAATAATAAGTAAAAAAGTGTCAGTCGGTGTTGCCGACAGATATATATCCTCAGCCTATGGTTTGCGGGTTTCGAAATACAAGGTATATGTTTTTTATAAGAGGTTTCGGATTTAATGTTGACCCACCATTGGAATTGATCAAGTCTTGGTAAAAATAATGGGTTGTGCAAAGTTTGATTAAAATCGGACATTCTATTTTACTGAAAATTTTGACCTTTTATGGGGGAAGTACCAGAAGGAGTGGACCAGGGTGTCCTATCTTTGGTATTGATCTGAACATAGAAAAGAGTTTGGCTTAAATCGGACATTGCATTTGTCTGATATTGCTTTTATAAATATTGAACATTTGTACCATTTGTGATGTGGTACCAATGGGTCCCATGTTCGGACTTGATCTAGGCTGGGTAAAGATAATAGGTTGTCCAATCGGATAGTCCGTACGCATGATATTATCAAATTCATTTTGAGCACAATTGTGACCATTTTGTCTAAAATCAATATTTCCATTAGGCACATTCTTGCCGTATTAAAGTGTATAGAGTAATGTGGACCATGCGTCAAATGTGGACCACCCCCATATCTAAGAAAATGCTTGAAATATACCAATGCCGCCTTGATAAATGTTTTCCTAATTAGTGAAAACAAACATCAAACTTGGTTTTTAATAAATAATTGCAATGTTGAAAATTTAGTAGGTGAAAATGTAGCTCTGATTATAAAAGTGTGATTTGAAAATTTTTTAGCACAATATAACGATTTGGTAAAATAGTCGAACATTTTGTTTTTCTCGAATATAAAGAGGTTATGTGGTTTTCTTGTATTCTTTAACAAAAATACACGTCTATCTGTAATTACTTTCGGTTATTTTTAAATTTTTATTCATTTTTGAAGCCGATAATTATTTTTAAATAAAAATATTCAATGTCGGGTAATGTGGACCACTATAAAAAAGTGGGACATTTTCATGAGGACGAGTTCGAAACAAGTGCGAATTTAATATGCGAGGAGGTATTCTATCCTCTGAAAACTCGATATCCGAAATTATAGGTGCCTCGGTTGGATAATGAAGCAAAGACCTTCAAAATACCGCAAATGGGGTGGTACCCTTAAATGGGGGCTATTCCAAAACATGGCCCATATATTTTTGCATTCATTATTACCCAAGAGTGCAATAAATTGAAATTTATCACAATTAATCCACAACCTACCTTTAACTTACTGATCCTCATTACCCACACATACTGGTCCACATTACCCGCCAAGTTATTTTTATTTGCAGTTTAGAGTTTTTTGAAATATAATGCAATAACATTTTTATGGACAAATATATATAATTTTTGACCTGGAATATAATTAGCCAACAAATCTACCATGCTGTGAAAACAATTTGTTTTTATTTTTTACCGTTGTTACGCCCACAATATCAAAAAAAAAAGAAAATGGTGGTCCACATTACCCGAAGTTACTCTATACCCATAAAACTGAGGGTATAAAAAGAAATAGGCATGGATATACAAAACCACAAAATTGTAAATGGACTTATGACATTTACGTCACTATTTGGACGAACTATATCTCATCATAGGTAGTACATGCAATTTCCTGTGTAATGAACCGTTTTTCCAATCGTAACTCACTGGAGCGGCTAACATTTTTTTTAAATTTTTGAATCTTGAAAATCCTAGCCGAATTTTCCAAGCTCAGTTCTGAAAATTTGTATTAATTGAAATGTTTAGATTCTGGGGGTCATGACCTTACCTCAATGTTGCTGATAATGCTGGCATTGTCGCCAAGAACGTGAACAACATCAGGATGAAACACAATGCCACGAAATATGGTAGATATTGACATGAGGATGAACACATGGTATTGGTCGCTTCAAATCCAAATTCAGGCGTTGTCGATTTAATGCATCCACAGTCTCTGTAGGATTTGCTCTCATTGTGTGCTATCTCTATAGAGCAGCCGGCATAACACGGGTTATAGTACATGACATTGTCTTGGCCACAGATGGGATCATACATATATTTGCTGCACGAGCAGTTGGCATTACAGTCGGCTTCCAGTTCAATTGTGAATTTTGTCAATTGGCTTTCGTTTAGAATACTTGTTTTCCGATAACCAGTCGTGACTCCGGCAAATTTCAAATTGGGACAGGATAATAGAAAGCAACTTGTAAAGACGGTGGCGATTATGGTCACCACCAGGCACAACCTTATTATTCCGGCACAGTTGAGATTGAATTTCTTGACCAAATAACCACCCAAAAAGGTTCCACCGCCACCGGCGGGCACTGTTATTAGACCCATCAGTAAGGCAGACCACACCGGTGAGATACTGAACTGATTTTCAATTTGCTTAGGCAGAAACGCTGCAAAGCCTGCTATAATCATTCCCTCCGACGCACCAGCCAAATTCAGAAATACGAAAGTCGGATTTTTGAGGAGAGACGTCAATGCCATCGGTAATTCTTTGAATTTTGTAAAAGCTGTGGGTTGATCCACATTCTTGTTGGCATTGTACGCCTCCGATATTTTCTCCTGCTGTAGTTTTTCTGAACCCGGCAACGATGTCGGATAACCGAATATTGGTATGGCCAGAATGAAGCAGGCAATTGCAGCAAATACGAAACCAATCCACCATGCTCCAATCCAAACCTTGCTGGCACTGGTCAAACTTAATCTGAAAAATGAACAGAAATAAATTCATAAGTGTTTTACAGGGTATCCAATACTGCTGATATTAAGTTGGATTAATTACGTTTTAGAACATTAAAAAACTATCAATTTATTTGTAGTATTTTAAAATTTACGAATAATTAGTGGACATGTCTGATATTTGTTATCCACGAATGTTAGATGATAAAAATAATTTCAATTCGAATATTATTTCGGTATAAGTTTAAATGGTGACGTGTAAGTCGGGAGGTAACCTAAAAAGACGTGGCAATATTTCCCATTTCTAAGGCATTTTAAAATATTCTAATTACAATTTCTCGAAGTCCTTGCATTTTTTGGTATATGGTGTCTTTGGCAATACTGCTGGATAACTTTTTATCGGGTTAACCTACTTTATGAGGATTTATTTGACATATATGCAAAGGAATTGACAATTGAAAACCGGTTAAATGTTAACGTAATAATATTTCACTTTTATCGATTAATACGTTAACTCTTATACCCTAGACAGACTACAGCCTTAATTTGCATTAAAAAGTTCTTAATTTGAATTAATATTTACCCCTGACAGGCGAGAGTTTTTGCATTTATGAAACAATTTTTTGTAAGTTAAAAAAATTTCGACCCCGCGATTAGATTTTTAAAGGAATAATTTTTACAATGTCGTATGTTTTTGCAGAATGCATTAATAACGATTAATACAGTACCCATTTATACTCCTTAATGACATTAATATGTGAAAGTCAATTCCTTTGCATATATATAAACCAAAATAGGTTAACCTGGTAAAAAGTCTAATGTATATGCACGATTATAGTTTACATTTAACACTAACCCAGTGGGTTTCAATTGTCATTTCCTTTGCATATATATACTAGGTTAACCCGGTAAAAAATTTGTTTTCATCGAACACGATTATAGTAAACACTGGATATACTGAACTAAATATGTTCATATGCCACTTTTTTATTTTTAATCAATCCTGAAAATAGTAAAAAAGTAAATTTTTGATGGTTTATATTCTAAGAGGAACTCAAGCCCGCCATTTCCTGATCTCCACTATTTAGATTTTTTCTCATAATCTTTCCTTCGACAACCTATTTGCGGTTTAAGAGCCACGTTATTTATTTTGTAATCAAAATTCGTGTGTATTCGTTTTTTCGCGGAAAAGTTCTATCTTCCTATGTCATTCGGTGCATCTTGACAAATGCATGCAATATAACCTAATTTCCTATTTTAATTTGGCGTATTTTTCGTCCATATTGTTGCTATTGGCAATTTTACTTGCGGGGACGTTGTGAACAACAATATGATTCCTTGCTTTTATTTCTTTCATCAAACCAAATATTGAAAATATTATTGTTTTTTATTCTGAAGTTCCCTACAAAAAACTAATATATCTCGAAAACGCAAAAAAATCGCAATTTGAGACCTATTGGAATCAATTTAGAAGGCTTTCATTAATATATTTCAGTTGTTAAAAGATCAGACAAATTTAAACATTTTTGTAAAAGTCTATCTAGAATGACTTATGTGTAAAAAATAGACACATTTCTTTTATTACAGTCAACTATGTAAATTTTGAATCGCTTCACAAATGTATTAACAAATATTATATATTAAATAAACAGCACACACCACCGTTAATACTCTCCATGTTTAATTTTTATGTTTATGCTTTGATTTTAGCGGTTTTAAACGTTTTAAAATACGCCTTGATTTTTTAATCCTTTAATTTTATTTTCAAAGTTTGGAGTTTGGCAACGATTTTCACCGCTTTTAAGACACTTTTACGCAAAAAATCTTACAGATTTATAAAATTTGACATGTTTTCTTTTTAATGGCATCAAAAAAGATTTTATTTTCCAAAATTGAAAAAAATGACTTTTTGCCCAAAAAACTGTCGAAATTGCAGAAAAGAAGAAAATCAGCTATAACAATAGTAAAACAGCTCACTATTTGAATTTTGCCTTTATTCATAATTTTTATTTTCATAAACGTAAATAAATTTGACAAGAATCAATTTATTTTGTACAGCATTGCCATATTGAAATTGCTTAATTCAGTATAAATTCAGTTTGATTTTGTGATTTAAAAACACATAAAAATGAGGACAATGTACAAGTTAATTTGAATCAAGGCTATTAATGCAAATAAAGGATGTCGTCTGTCTAGGCTATTAGTCGACTTTGTGAAGGGGTCTTTTCGGTCTCTTTTTCCAGAATTGATTGAAAACTCAATTGGGTCTTAGCCCAAAATAAGTTTTCATATTTCTAAGATTTTTGACGTTTATGCTGATTTTCAAGTTTTGTTCTATTCTGAATATAACTTTATGGCGACAATTTTTGTAGGATATTCTGATCTGTTATAACCCCGTTTTAAATGAGTTTCCAATCATTTTTATACAAGGTAATCTCATGCAATCATATGTTTCCAATTTTTTCAAAAAAATGCCTTTGACAGTATTCAGCTTTCAAAATGAAAGTGAAAATATCTTCCTTCGAAATGTACGCATATCATGTGTTCAGTGGCAAAAAATGTTAAATAATTTATATTTATAAACATTTTGAAATTCCCTGTCTCTAAAACTTTTAAATATAAGACGTAATAACCATGGTTAAATCTTAAGAGCAATTTTTAGCTTTAGAAAATATATATTTTTTAATTTATTGAAAATATTCCAATCGACATACACAAAATTTTAAGGATTTTTTTCATTTTATTTAAAATTGATAGATGACTTCCAAATTAAAAAGGGTTGCCATCATAAAATTCTCAAATTAGACTACCTTCTGTAAATATGCGATGTCCGAATATTTTCAAATGGCTTAGTAATGGGAGATAAAGCCACGCTTTTTTAGATAGACTTGTCTTCAATTTTTAGCACCTCTATCATAATTTTTTGGAATTTCTTGATAAAAATTTTTTGTGTTGCACAGTGTATTAATATGGGCATTCCAATACCCTGTTGGCCGGTATTGGGAGAGCAATTACTCTGCAAAGCTCTTATAGTATATATTATTATCGCAACTCTCTATTTATGGGTAATTTTCTATATATTAGATTGGGGAAATAGAAATCCATCATTTTTATATGAACTATAGAACTTTATTTAACATGCTTCGGAATGTCACCGTTTTGCCAAATATGCACCGTTTTGTTGTATGATTTGTTGCCATTTTAAAGGTAACTTCATAATGCCTCTCTCATAGAAGTCCTGCTCTCTATTTGCAAAAAAAAAAAAACTGCAGTACTCGATTTGCAAAATCCTCCCTAGATACCAATTTTTGCTATGCAAGAATAAGACGATAAACGCTTAGTGCCAAGTCCGGACTGTATAGCGGATGCATTAAAACTTCCCAATCAGGCTCCCAACCATCTGCCGAAATAATAATGGATTTCCTTTTCCCCAACCTAATATAATACTTATTATTTTTTTAGAATGTAATTGAACAAAGTCCTGATTTAGATTAGGCGAGTTTACTTGTGTATGGTATGGTGTCTATACAAGGCAATTCGGTATCAAAACTATTTATTTTTATTGACATTTTGTGAATTTTTTTTTGTTCGAAAATGTTCTGGATTGGTATTTCAAATTACTTAGTCCTGATTTATATTAGGCGAGTTTACTTGCGGCAATTTTTATCGTTCTCTTTTGAACTTGCTTCATGCGTCTATACAAGGCAATTCGGTTTCCAAAATATTTTTTTATTTGTTGTTTTTTCACATTTAAATATACATATATAAAATGTCAACAAATACGAAATACACAAAACGAATTGCCAGAAAATTGTCGGTACGAGCAATTTTTTTCCTATTCCCCTTGCCCCTCTCTCCTACAAACAAAGACTTGCCGCAAGTAAACTCGTCTAATCTAAATTGGGAATTACACTACAAACAAAATACACAAAACGAATTGCCAGAAAATTGCCGGTACGAGAAATTTTTTTCATTTCTCTTCCCCTTGCCTCTTTTCAGCAAACAAAGACTTGCCGCAAGTAAACTCGCCTAATCTAAATTGGGACTTAATATCTAGTTGAATACTATGACGTTAAAATTTAAATTACTTATTTCAATTGATATGCTCCCAACTATCTTCTTCAATATCATCTTTTTATCTTATTTATCTACCGTTGATATTTCCTTTTACCGACATGGCATACTTCCTTTATTTTTAAATTTGGACTACATTTCGGCTTATTCTCTTTTGGAATAAAAAATTAACATAAGAAAACTTATGTTATTTATTAAAAAAAAATCATCAACTCTATAAAATTATCCATCAAAGCTGGAATCATTTCGAAAGCTCTACTAAAATCATATCATAACGGAGGTCGTTATTTAAACAAGTAGATATTTGGCTGAAAACACAATGTTCACGTCATTGTTGTCGTGGCAACAAATAAGGGATGTGATGCCCACGTAGCTATAAGCAACTGCGACACCTGTTAATAGAGGAGTCACACCCTGACACAGCACGTAATCTATGCCATCGATTTTAGTCCCGGGGATTAAAATTGTGTTTTATTAGTCCCACGGTATGGGGAAACAGCTATTTGGGGAGAGTGATTTACTGTCGGCAAATGGCAAACGAAGCTTTTATATTCATACGTTGTTGTTTTCTGGTGTCGCATTCATACACCGGCATTCCTTAAGGATGCCATTCACGTGTTTGGCGGTTATGCCGTCTTTGGAATTACCAACAGAACGTTCGGATTTCTTACAAGTGAGAAAAGTTTGTTCCCTCAAGGTGTGATTTATTGCCTGTTTGCAGTCGAAATAATTAAGAGTTGTTAACCTGTTAGGTTATAAAGCATCACCTACATTGCTTATGAATGTGTGCGAAAACCCCCCGGTTGTTATGAAAATTTCGCCCTGCAAGCATTCGATTGTGGGTTTCTCACTTGTTCTTCTAATAATAATCCACAGTTTTTTTTTTTTTTTTTTAAAGGGCGATAGTTTTTAATTTTACAATGACACATGTGTATTATAAAATGTTCGTCG